TTTACATATTGTCCCTTTTAGATCTTCTCCTTGTGTAAACTCTGGGACTCCTTTTATCCTAAGATTATTTTTCCTATGCTTATTACCTTGTATCTCCAACTTATACTGCAGCTTTTTTTGTTCTTTCCTCGTCTCCATTATCTGATTTTTTTTAATTCTGGAATAGCTTGAGCATGTTTTTTAACCACTTGCCCTCCTGAGGATTTACCCCCCTTAATGACCAGGCCTCTTTTTGCTACTCAGCGCTGCACTAATTCAACTGATAATTGCGCGGTCATGCAATGCTGCACCCAAACGAAATTTACGTCCTTTTTTTCACACAAATAGAGCTTTCTTTCGGTGTAATTTGATCACCTGTGCGCTTTTTATTTTTCACGCTATAAACAAAAAAAGGCCAACAATTTTGAAGAAAAACAATATTTTTTACTTTCAGCTATAAAAAATATATAGTAAACTCAAAGTTGGTTATAAATTTAGGCCAAAATGTATTCTACTACATGTTTTTGGTAAAAAAAAAAATCCCAATAAGTGTATATTGATTGCTTTGTGTGGAAGTTATAGCGTCTACAAACTATGGTATAAATACTGCAATTTACGCCATTTTTCTGCTATACAGCGCTGCGCTAGTTTAACGGACAATTGCTCGGTCATGCAATACGGTACATAAATTAAATTTACATCCTTTTTTTCCCCACAAATTGAGCTTTCTTTCGGTGGTATTTGATCGCCTGTACGGTTTTTTTATTTTTTGCGCTATAAAAAAAAAGGCTGACAATTTTGAGGAAAAAAAAACTATTTTGGACTTTTTGCTATAAAACATGTCCAGTAAAAAAAAAAATGCAAAAATCAAATTTAGTCATAAATTTCTGCCAAAATGCACTCTGCGACATGTCTTTGCTAAAAAAAAATCCCAATACGTGTAAATTAATTGGTTTACGTGAAAGTTATAGCGTTTACAAACGGCGGGAAAGATACTGGAATTTTTAATTTTTATTTATACTAATAATGGTGGCGATCAGTGACTTTTGGCGGCAATCAGCGACATATGGCGGCGACCAGCGACTTATGGCAGGACTGCAGCGGACATTTTGACACTGGGGGGGGGGGGGGGGGGGAACTGACTTGGGGTCACTGACATCCCCAGTGACACCAATACAGTGATCAGTGAAAAAAACCCATTGAAACTGTACTAATGTCACTGGGGAGGAAAGGGTTAACATTTTAGAATTTTCTGTGTAAGGGGAGTGTTTTACTAGGGGGGGGGGGTGTGTACTGGACCGGGGGAGCTGATTGAGGGAGAGAAAATCTACAGCTTCTCACAAGCTGTCGGAGAACTGACACAGAACAGGGCTGTGTGTAAACAATGCAGCCCTGCTCTGTGTCAGCGATCACCGTCAATCGCGGGAAAACAGCCGGTAAAAGCCGGCCGTGACCCGTCGGCTGACACCCGCGGGACAGGTAGGGTGGGCGCGCGCCCCCTACCTGTTTTGAAGGCAGCCGTTTTAAGATGTGCTTTTGCCTACGAGTGCCGCCCTGCCACCGTTTATATGCGGTGGCTGGGCGGCAAGTGGTTAATTTTTTCTTCCATTTCTTCTACTCTGGATAATAAATGTCCCAAATCATTCCGATTTTTCCAGATTTTTAAACATTTCTGCCATCTCCTTTTTATTTGGGATTTGTAGTTCTCCTTCATTTTCTCTTAACTTTGTTCCCTCTGATGTTTGTTGGCTATTATCAATTTCCTCAGAAGACCTGGCGCTCTTATCCAAACTGTTTTCCATTATACTCCTTTCACATGCCTCCTGAGATCTTTCTGGGGTCACATTTCCCTGGGACGTATATTTCCTAATCGTTCCAGATTGGGGGTGCTTAGGACCACTCCCTTTACTATTTTTACTCTTCATATTTGCTGTAAATCCAGTCCCTCTTCTCTAAGGTCTAGGGCATGTGCTATAATTACCCTTGGGAGAATTCAAATTTTCTTCTGTCCCCTTGGGAATCCCCCTTTTCCTCAGTGTATTCTCCTCTCTACTTCAACCTAAATAATCCACATACAGGATCAATATACAGTCCAGCCACCCTCACTCACCCTCCTTCCAACTGCTTTTTCGGTGAGGCGATTTTCCAGATTCCTTATCTGCTGTCTGTCTTTATTTCCTCTCCAGGGGGATTCCTCCGGGTCACACTCCTCTTCCTTCTCCTGCTCTCCTTGACAGGTAGCAGGCAGGGTGCTTCTCTGTCGAGCCGGCATCTCCCCAGCTCCTTAGCACGCCGGCTGGCTTTTTTTTTTTTCCCTCCTCACAGGGTCCTGCTTGTATCTGTCTACACTCGCGGCTGTCAGTGAGAATCCGGCACCTCCCCTCTACCTGGGAACGCCGGCCGGCTTCTCTTCCTCCCAGTAGTCCCCTGCAGGGGGTCACGTGGCCGCCTTGCGTCCTCCAGGCTCCCAGCAGCCCGCTGTCTCGGATGGGAAGCTCCAGCTGTCCCACCGCAGCAGATCCCACAGCACTCCGTCCTCCTCACTTCTCCGGTAGGATCCCGCTCACAGGTAGGGCATCTCCAGCGGCATTCACAGGGCACATTGAGGGGAAGGTGACTGCCTTGCGGAGAGAGAGCTTACATCGCTCTCTCCCCTGCCGCCATGATCAGGCCGGGTTTGTAAGGTCTTGCCTTGCATTGACTTAGTTGCATTAAAAGAGAGCTGTCATGGGTAATTTCAGCCCATACTCTCCTAATTGCATTAAGGGTGGTAACTGGTATACACAGAAGCAATCAGTGCTTGAGCCTAAAACCTGGGACACCTTCTGTCACAAGGTCGTCAAAGTCCAGGCCTCTTCAAGTCCACAGGGACCTCTGTGTCCACTCAGAACTTTTTAGCTTTGTGTGCTCAGCTACTGGAACATTTTGCCCACAGAGGTTCTAAGCGTGATTTGGCAACTTCCCTTGAAGAGTTTTTATGCTTTTCTGGGTCCCTAAACCAAGCTGGCCTGTGGACATTGTCACCATCTCTGCATCAGATTTGGAGACTCAGCAGTCTTTCTATGAAGAGACTGTTTTTGAGTAAGAGAAGTTTCCCGCTGTTGACAGATTTAGAGGGAATTATTTCAAACCTTAGTGATGCAGTGCTATTATCTGGCATCTGGAGGATCAGCTTGCTTTTCCAGGCCTTTGGCTTTTTAGAACATCTGCAGCTGCAGAGACCTTTCCACTACACAATTTGAGAGGTATCTCTGTACAAACTGGGAACACTCTGTGAGGGGTCCTTCGCCCCACCTGAGTGTGTGTCTGAACTTTATTCCTTTAATTGGAAATTGGTAAATCACCAATCTGTTCCAACCATAAATATCAGTTACCCACCTTAGGAGGAATACCACTGGACTGGTGGATGGCATGCTCCCTTTTCAGGATTTCATTGACAGTTCCTCCTTGAATACCAGTTTGAATTTACTATTCTGGCCCTCTGTCCTATGTTGGTAGTATCTCTAATTTGACAAACTGTTAGAAAGGATAGTTTCCCTTAAGAGCAATCCCTTCACAGCTGAGGATGGCTCCTGTTTTATAGTTCTGCTGATGCTTTAGTTGGAATGGCTTGCTGTAAGCATCTAAACGTGATTTGCATGGGGTTTACTATTAATACAGATGCACAAAGCTGCATGGTTAGGAAGCTGATATTTTATCCTAGCAGCATGTGACTTGATTATACTTCAAGGGTTGTTATTCCTTCAACCCTGCTCTTCTAGACAGTGCCACAGGTGGCCATTTTGTGCTCCTGTTTCAATGCAGGTGGTCTGTGAATGGGTCACAGGAATCCCTTAGTTTGCGTAAGCTGTAGACCTTTGGAGCTTAATTCACACTCTGTAGGACTCAGTTCAACCTCTTATAATCCTGCAGCAGGAAGGTCCTTCCCCATTTCTAGAAGTGGGAGAGGGAGCTGTTTGTACAATTAAATGGGTCCTTTGGTGGTTTCATTTACTAGCATTTTGGGGCTCAGAATGCACATTTTAACCGAAAAAGCTAACCCCTTATGCTTGGCATTTCTTTAAGTTGTCCCCAGTGATCTTTCATGTGTTACTGCAGAGCAACATCTCAGGTCTTTCTGGCTTCCCCGCACCCTGGGACCCCTTTGCCCCTGTCCAAGTGGGGACACAGCTTCTATAGATGTACCCCATAGGGGTTTTCCCTTCCTTCTACAGGAAAATCTATTATCTTTGGATTTTCTTGAATCTCTTATATGGACCAGGTGGTCTTCTCTTTTTAGACACGTTTTTTGTCAGAGGTTCTCTGTGGGACCTGTTTTTCTGGGGCCTTGTCCCAACGCTTATTTTTTAATTTTCTTTTAAACCGATGACCACCTCCTGTTGGTAGTCTTGTTTCTTCATTTATCAGGTAGTGTTCCATCTGTTTTGGTAGGTTGTGGGTTTCACAACTCTCATTGGTTCAGACTCTGTGTTCCTTCAGTTGGATTCATTCCGAATGGTGGTGGTCGTCTCTTCTGCTTTGGTCTCGAGCATCCAGTTGATCCCCTGTGATTCCAAGGGCTGACTTACAATTTTGTTTACCAGTGTCCCAACCCTCCTGTGGGTGACAGCATACCGCAACCTGTTTTTGAATTTCTGTGTACCTCAGTGGCCTCCAAAACAATTTTGCAGTAAGTAGAAAAATCTTTTTTTATTTTTAGCTTGGTAATAAATGCACAATGCATAGCTATAGTATATGCTGGCATTGGCTGCCATTCATTTCTTTGGTCCTCAGATGTTTCTGCAGGATTTTTATTTATTTTTTTAATGCGGCACAGATATTTGATCATCTGGCATAGATTTTAATTAATCTTTTAATAAAGAGCTCTCTTGGTTGGTTAGATGTGTATCTGGCTTACGTTTACTGTTTTGTGTAGCTAGAATGCAATCAAATGTTGTATTACAAAGGGAATCCTTGTCTTGTATTTTGCAATCAGACATCATGTTTCTGTGCCTAACATGTTATAACTTCCTTTTACACAGCTAGATGAAGCTGATGAAGATGATGTGTATATAATGTACTGGCCTCCTTAAAACGCTTAACGTGTTTTCACAAGTGAGTATAGTAAATTTATTATGTAGTCATTTTTGTTTAAAAAAATATATATATATATATGTATGTATTACGCAACATCAATGTAAAATAGCATAACAGCAAAGGCTTCTTCATTTGACAAGAGCTGTCCTTTTTTAAAAAAAAAAAAAAATCTCTTGATGTCTCCTGTTTGGTCAGAATCAACTGCTAATTTACATATTATCAGCACACACCAAGAACCCAACACAAGTTAATAATTATATTTTAGTAACCTATTCATTGCGGACTGTGCACAGATAATAATCTACATCCAAATTGTTTGGTACCTCAACTGTTATGTATGCTTATATACATATTGTGTTTTCAAATGTGTGTGTGTTAAAATAACTCCAGCCAAATATGAATAAAACATCATTTTAAACAGTTCTGCATTTATTTAATAAATGTTTCTATGTACTTTGACAGCCTGTATCCCATTGAACACCTGTGGAGAGATCTTAAAATTGCTGTTTGGGAAAAGGGTGTCCTTCCAATAAGAGAGAAAGTGGGTCCAAAATCCGGGTGAGAGGTGTCAGAAGCTTATTGATGGTTTTATAGGGAAGCGACTGATTTCAGTTATGTTTTTCCAAAGGGTGTACATGAATCTGCTTTAATGCAGTATGCCTTCTATTATCCAGTGTACGGTGGCTGTTGGGCTGAGAGACAGACATGACTAGGATCTATTTCTAGTTTTAGAGGGTAGAATATATCTTTTCCAATCTTTGTTTTAGTAAAAAATCATCACAATTCAGATTTGTATGTATTCCTCTGGTATTGTTACGGCCTTGTGGTGTGAATCTTGCCATTTCTAGTTTTGTTGCATTATGAAGTACCTTTGTTCAGCCTTGCATTATGCAAGCAGATGTTCTGTGTTACTGAAAGTACTTTGCAATTGCAGCGCTCACGATTTGACCAAATGGGACATGTTTGGAAATTGTTATCGGTTGTTGAAGGCAGGTCTGGAACATGAAGGCATGCTCGAGCAGGTAAGTTGATTGTGTTTGAAATAAAGTACTTGCAGGTGCATATGTTTGGAAGGAGCCTAATTCTTTTCCTTTGATTTATTTCAGATTGGTGTCCAGGCTCTTCAGTGCTCTCACTACTCTGTACTGTGGCAGTTGGTTAAAATCACAGAAGGCAATCCTTCCAAAGTTAGTTTCCATATAAATTTTGTATTTGTCACTTGTGATAATGGCTTGCCTCAAAATAGATATTAAAATGTACCTATCTATTATAAATTGCAGAGGTTACTGTTTAGTGACTTGTAAACCTGCTCAAGAGCATGTAGTCTTAAATGATTCTCATCGCAGTAAATCATGTGTGAATATCACTACATGTAAATAGCATATCCAATTAGAAATGTTTTTTTTATATACAACATATAGCAAAAATCATTGTATTTCTAATTATGATAATGTTAAATGACAGAAAAAAGTGACACCCCATGACATTTCATTTTTAACCGTAATGCTAACTTGCTGCACTCTAATCAACACTGATGACTCCAACAACAAAGAGTTTAAAGTCATTATTCATTACTGGTTTGATCATTGGCAGCAGCACAGTTCATAGATTGCCAACAGTCTGAATTGGGCACTGGGGAGGTTTTGCAAATTTCACCTGCCTGACCAATTAATAGACGGGGAAAAGGTACAGGATCTTATATAATAGAGACAAATTCATGGCCCCCTCGCAGTTGTGTGACAGACTGCATGCCACAGAAGTTCCATTGCAGTTTTGGCACCAACCCACCCAAAAGGACAGGTTAAAGACTTTTTAAAAAGCAAATAAGCAGCTGGTACTTGAGTCTGATGGCGCAACTATTTGCTTCCAATGCAGATGTGACATTTCTACTGAGATGGTCCCAGCGTGTTATTGTAAGTGTGTGGGTGGGTGGCACAGGCTGCAGTAAACTTTTATGTCTGTCATGCTGTGATGGAGAGGATCAAAGGGTGACAGAAAAGAGATGTCTTAATGTTCATTTTAGATACAGCATTGATCCTGCACTTCTCTTTGTAGGGTCAATGTTTTGTACCTGTGTATCTTCTTTTAAAAATGTTAGTTAATCACCAACATTGTCACAGAATATTTAAAAGCAGCTGTAAAATATTGAATTTTTTTTCCACTCAAGGAATTTTAGAAAACTGTTTATATTTGTGTGATCTATTTATTTGTAACATCCAGCTTATTTTCTCTAGTCATCTTCCAGGACGGCACAGCTGAGAGATAGCTAGCTCCACCTGACAGGAAACACAATTGACAAGAGTTTAAATTCCCCTCCCTTACCTCCACTCCTCATGTTTTGATTGTGTTTCCCTGCCAGCGAAATGTATGTTTTGTTTTTGTATTATTCTTTTTTGCTGACCTAAGGCCTGGAGGGTAAACAGCTGACCCAGGAAGGGCAGGCTGTAACCCAGTTGAGCGGAGCTTCCCGGGCACTGGTTAGGTGTGCCTAGTGTTCCAGGGACAGGCGCCCTTCTTCCCTCTTCTAGTGCAGCGGAAAGGCATGTCAGGAGATGACCAGGTCTCATGGTGGCTTCTCGTGGATATGGGGACCGAGGGCCAGCACGTGGAGTTGCGCTGTGCGCCCCTGTAAAGTGAGCGGGGTGGCCGCGGTAGAGTCTGCTACTGGTTCCACCAGTGTAAGGGCCCACGCAGGACTGGAAGTGGGAGCGAGGCTGCGAACCAAGCCTTGCTCTCAGTAGTACTTTTGGTAAGGGTGGGACTTCCGCATTAAAGATGGCGACGCTGGTCGGCATTTCCTTCCTAATGAGGCCTGTGAGAAGCCTCCAAGAATTACCACTGGGAGTGTGGTCCCAGGAGCACGGCAAAGGTGACATAGTCCCGAAGGGCCCTGCTAAGGATGGAAGGCGAGGCCATGGCTGCTGCCAGTGAGAAGACCGTAGGCGTTGAGTCTGACTCAGCTGATGGGGGAGAGAAGGGGGGGGTAGAGACCTTACCCACTCCCCTACAGGTGTACTTAGGGAAAAGGAATAAATGTTAACCTGGGCCCCTGTTTATCTCTCCTTAGAGCTATGTGGAACTGCGCAGGAGAGCGCCCACAAGACACCTAAAGCTAAAGCCCCTCTCCAAACAGTGTGATTATTGTAATGATAAAGTCCCCCAAGACCGTTTTGCTACAAGTGTATCCAAAGGTTGTCAGGGAAAGAAACCTTTGGCGGTTATGAAGGACTTTTTGTCAGTGCAAATGGAAATGTTAGCCACCTTACAGTATTTCAAGGAGCCCTAACATCCAGGGAGATGGATGCCCGGATCCTCTAGGGAAGGGTCTTCTTTACCAGAGGGAGCTTGGACGCATTGGGGGGGGTTTGGGTCCCTCATATTCTCAGGTCACAGAGGAGGAAAACTAGAGGAGGCAGAGGTTTTTGGCCAAAGCTCCCTGGAGAAGGGGAAAGATTTGGAAGGTGCTAGTCTGGCTAGCAAGGAATATAGACTGGGTAGACACGTTCTTGCTGTGGAAGATATGGAAGAGCTCCTAAGGGCTATCTATGCCTCGGAGGACATCCCTGGACCACCAACACGGGTCTCAGCCCAGGACAAGATGTATAGGGAGTTGGTGAGGCCACAAGCTAGGGTGCTTACCTGTGCACCAAACTCTCAAAGATAATGTCTTAAGAGAGAGTGGAAGGATCCCGAGAGGTCCTAAAATTGAAGACCTGGAAGAAGCGGTACCCCTTTGGGGAAGGAGAGGAAGAGAAACTCCTCAAAGCTCCCAAATTAGACGCAACATTATCGCAAGTATCTAAAAAACTCTGACCTGTCCTTTGAGGACTCGGGTAACAGCAGAGATCAGATGCACTGTAGGTCTGAGACGCTGTTGAGTAGAGCCTGGGATGCCAATGCCGTTACTATGGCCCCTGCCCTGGCATCCGCCTGCATCGCTACAAATGTTGATGCATTGATACATAGAGTAATTGACCATGTCTCTCGGTGTACCAAGAAAAATGGGGGAGCCCAGTTGGAAGAGGTGTTGGGTTCCCTGGAGGTATTTGGGAAGGCTGTAGCCTACCTAGCAGATGCTGCAGTGGAGATGGTCAGAACATCGCCTAGGACCACAGCTCTGCTAAACTCAGCCCGAAGGGCAGTAGGAATTAAAACCTGGGAGGGGCGATCAGCCTTCAAAAGCCCATCCCTGTGGTTTGCCCTCTGAGGGTTCCTTTCTGTTCTGCCCAGGGCTGGACCAGGTTTTATCAAGGTCTGCCGAAAAGGGGAAGAAGTTCCCTGTCAAGGCCAAAAAGGATAAGGGGAAGAAGTTTTTTTTTTGTGCCTTCCTTAATCAGGGCCAACAAAGATTTAGGAAGGACTCCCCCAAGAAATGGGCCAACAAAGGAAGAAAGGAAGCTTCCTTTTTCTGTCTCCAAACCCACCAGTAAGGGCCCCAAATGATACCGATCTCAGGGTGGGCGGAAGGCTGTCCAGATTCCTTCAGCAATGGGGGAAGATTACAGAAAGGCCGTACATCCTGCAGTTGATAGGGGATGGGTACAGTTGGAATTCTCTTCACTCCCTCTCATGCCTTTGTGCTCACTTGTCCCCCCAGAGACAGGACAGAGGCAGAAAGTCTCTTGGGAGGAATCGGGGATTTAGCAGATCAGGAGGTAATTGTTCCTGTGCCAACGGACCAGCTTTTTCAGGGATTTTATTCCCACATTTTCGTGGTCCCGAAGCCTTCAGGGAAATTCTGCTTGAGCATAAACCTAAGAAGGTTGAACAGTTTTTTATATATGGAACTTCTTGTACCGCAGGAAGGTATCTACAGTGTACGGAAACATCTGCTCAAGGCAGTCTTTATAGCCACTGTGGATCTCAGGGACGCCTACTTTTACATTCCCATCGCCACAGAATACCAATACTTCTTTCACTTTGCCATCTTCACGGAACAGGGGGTCAGTCACTGGCAGTTCCGAGCCCACCCATTTGAGCTAGCGGCCAGTCCGAGAATATTTACCAAGGTCTTGGCCGAGGTAGTAGCCTATTTACACCTTCAGGGAGTTTCCCTCATCTGTTACCTAGACGATCTGATGATCTACGGAGTCTCATGGCACCAATTCCTGGGAGACCTGGAAAAAGGTGATCCTCACCTTGGAATCTCTGGGGTGGATTGTCAATTGGGAGAAGTCCTCATTGACTCCCTCCCAAACCAAGGCTTTCCTGGGGTATGTAGTGGACTCCAGAGTCTAGAAACTTTTTACCCCAGGAGAAGACCGAAAAGGTAGTGAGGACAGTCTCCGCATTCTCAAAGGTTTCAGATTGCTCCTGGGGGCACATCGTGAGAATTCTAGGTCTCCTGACAGCCTGCATTCCTTCTATCTTCTTGTAACAGGAAAGTGGAGTCACTGGACGAGAGGGTTTCCCTCCAGCAGAGTGAACAAAACCTCACTGGGATGGTGGCTCAGACCCCAGAATTTGTGGGTGCAGTGGGACCCAGTTCAGGTAACCATGGACGCAAGCGAGTGGAGCTGGGGGGCTCATCTAGAGGACCAACAAGCCCAAGGCCCCTGGCAGCCACGCCTAAGGGGGACCTCCTCCAATTGCTGACTGCTGTTGGCCGTGGGTCAGGCCTTGAAGGCCTTTGCAGACAGGATCGAAGGAAAGCAAGTCCAAATTCTGTCAAGACAATATGTCGACAGTGGCATACCTGAATCATCAGGGGGGCACTAGATCCTAGTGACTCCTGGACCTAGCTCAGGAGATTCTAGGATGGGCAGAGAGCAGAGTTCTTTCCGTGTCGGCGGTCCACATAAAAGGGTCGGTCATCACGAAAGCAGATTTTCTCAGCTGACCGTTCACCAGGGAGAGTGGGAACTCAGTCCTGAGGTCTTTTTTCAGATAAGCCAGGTTTTTGGCAGCCTTGGAGATAGACCTTTTTGCCTGTAGGAAAAACAGGAAGGTGAGACGGTATTTCTCCCTGGTGCTGGAGTAGGGATCCAAAGGCCTGGACATATTAGCGCAGGAATGGGATTTAGAGCTGGCATATGCATTTCCTTCTCTGCCATTGATCCTGCGGATACTTCAGAAGCTGGGCCAATCAGGCTGTAGACTAATCTTGCTGGCCGCATGGTGGCCAAGTAGAGCCTGGTTCACCACCTTGAAGGTAGGCTGTGACTCCTCCGCAGTGTCTCCCAGTCAGGAGTGATCTTCCCTTACAGGGGCAAACTCTGCACCCCAATCTGGGTTTTTTTCAGTTAACGGCTTGGCTCTTGAAAGGGAGATCCTTAGAAAAAAGGGGTGTTCTGATAGAGTGATAGACACTCTTCTCCTCAGTAGGAAACTGGACAATAGAAAAATATACACCAAGGTGTGAAGAGTGTTTTCTAGTTGGTGTCAGAAAAAAGGGTTTTCCTTCCCATGTTTCTGGGGATCCTAGACTTTCTCCAAGCAGGGGTGGATAAAGGAATAGCAGTAAGCACCCCAAGGGTGTATGTGGCAGCCCTGCCAATCTTTTTTGGATTGGAGGCTCGTGTTGGAGCCCCTTGTTAAGAGATTTCTGGGGGCCAGGGAGAGGGTGAACCCTGTGAAGTTACATAATTTTCCGGCTTGGGATCTGACCTTGGTGTTAGAGGCTTTAACCAAGCCACCATTTGATATTTAAACAATTCTGCACTATGATATATAATAAGTTAATAAAAAAGAATAAGCAGCCACTTCAGCATTGCAGTCAACAATACACAAAAGATAAAAAAACATAGTGCGGTGCTTAAAATAACTGTAGCAAATGGAATAGAAGTCCAATTAATATATCATGAGGATGAAATAAGTCCCTCTTCATAGGGACATCAATAATGTCATAAATATTTGCATTACGCATTTTGACCCGTCCATATTTGGGGGTCATTTTGGTCTGGTAGGAGGCAGAATTTTTTGGGTGTTGGTGACGGTGGATCCCCTATATCCCCTTGACCAGATTGAAGTATTTATGACATTATTGATGTCCCTATGAAGAGGGGATTATTTCATCTTTATTATATATTAATTGGACTTCTATTCCATTTGCTACAGTTATTTTAAGTGCTGCACTCCTATGTTTTTTAAGCCATCCTTGAGCCAGTAGCACTAATTTCTGTTAAGATTTTATTTTTTAAGTTAGCCTTCCTTTTAGCCATCACAACAGCAAGGAGGATAGGCAACCTTCAGAGCCTGTCTATCAAGGAACCCTTACTGGTGGTATTAGAGGGCAGGGTCGTACTTAGACAGGGTACTCTTTATTTGCCCAAAGTGGCCTCATGGTTTCATGGGAGATTGTCCTACCCTAGGAATGAGGGGGAAAAGAGTTTTCATTTGTTAGATGTCAGGCGGTGTTGATTGACATATTTGAATAGAGCAAGTGACTTCAGGAAGTCAAGTCACCTTCTGATTTTGTTTAAATGCCTAAGGAAGGGACAGCAGGCATCTAAGCCAAAGATAACTAGATGGATCACCCAAGCTATCTCCTTCGCTTATGAGCAATCAGGGGTTTCAGTTCCCTCACACCTAAGGTCTCACTCTACTAGCAACCTCTTTGGCAGAGAGGGCCAGAGCATCTATTGAGCAGATCTGCCGAGCAGCCACATGGACATGCCAGGACACCTTCATGAGACACTGCAGGGTAGAGTTGATGTCACCTCTGGACCTGGCGTTCGGCAGGAAAGTATTACAGGCAGTGGTTAGAGGGGTTAAAACCTAGACTGGCCAACAGTTTGTTTTTTTTTTGTCAATGTGCAGTCCTCCTCTAGGAAGCAGTACAACTTCCTGAATCCCCTCAATGGGCTCCAAGAAAATTAATTTGAGAGTTCAAAAATCTTAAAATTGTAGTACTATTTTGCAACATAATCTTCCTTTTTATTATTTTTTTTTTTATTTACTAAAGCCAAGTCTGTTTTGTTTCTTCATAGGAAGATATGTTGATGTTAAGAAGGACTGTAAAATCTTTTCTAGCAATCTGTCAGCAGTGTCTTTCCAATGTTAATACGCAAGTTAAAGAGCAGGTAAGGCATACACAAGACTGGTTAACATATTTTTCCTTTCATACTGTATTTGTAGGCTTTTCTGGATGTCTGCATAAATGCCATTGTTTACAAATAATTACGTATTTAACATTTTGATTTCTTTTTAGGCAGCTATGAAATGTATGAAAATTTACCATACGTTTTCTTTCCTAAAAGAAGACATGAGTAGAACTGAGGGACCTTAGTTCACCATATGACTCCCTAAATAGAATATCTGCTCCCCTAAAAGTTGAGGTGATTCACAATAGAACTTCCAATCAATTTTGGGTTGCTGCACTTTATTTTTGATTTAATGATAAACTCCTCACAGTGACTGATCAGCAATAAAGCTCATGGTACCCTCCACTTTGTTTTTTATGGAGAAGTTTTTTCCTACAAATGTAACGCTATGTACATTTACTGAAAGGTTCCGTTTTTGTATTAACTGTTCCATGAGTGCTACGGAATTGTGCAGAATCATTCTAAATTAATTTCACATGTGGTCATGTCAACACCACCCAGCTCAACAAGTTGTTTTTTCAGTTGATTGCCTAAGGAGCTCAGCAGAAAATTGTCATCTGAATCAGATGTAGAGTTCAGGTATTCTGACAGCCATGGGTACCAACTGTCAAAATATAATGCCACTGTAAGTTTGCACACTCAAGCTGTTTTGTGTGGATCAAGTGAATTCTCTTGTTTAGCCAGTGGGTTGAACAAGAGAAATCTTAGTGTGTCTGGCCTGCTTATGTTGTAATGCTTTGTCCACTTCTGCAGTCATGCCCCTCCTTACTTGCAATCCTCTAAACAAGATAAGGGTGAAATGCAGAGTTTACTCCATGGTTGCACCAATATCAGACTCTTGTTATGTCAGTGTTCCTTAGATACTTTTATGTATGGTTGAATGTATGACTTGTAATACACACACACACACACACACACACACAACACATTTGGTTACACCCTGCTTCTCAGGAATATTGTTGTAGATGCCATGTTTACCCTGGTAATGCATTTCTAGATATCCTTATACAAATGTAATAAGTGATGTGGGCATATTTCTCATCCAGGCCTTCATGCTGCTCTGTGATCTTCTGATGATCTTCAGCCATCAGTTGACAACAGGTGGAAGGGACAACCTTTCGTTGCTGATCTTTAATCCAGACCTAGGACTACAATCTGAACTGCTCAGTTTTGTAATGGATCACGTCTTTATTGACCAAGATGATGAGAACCAGAGCATGGGTATGTATTTTTCCTGAGTATAGGCAATAATAAGTTCATGACTTGTTTAAGGGGCTTTTCACTTCATACACATTCTTGATTCTGGGTTGTTGTGGCTAAATTAAACCACAGTGGAAATTGGGATATTCATGTCAGTTGTGGACTGATCTAATGTGCCTATAGATTCATAGATTTATGGTTATCAATGGAGCGCATTAGATTGGCTGTGATGCAGTTTAAATATTATTGCTGTTACATAGCTTACAATTCCATGGAAGCTTTCAATCATAAATGGTCCTTAAAAAGTCCTAATTCACAAGCAGAACTACACTGCATCTGAGCACCACAGGCTATAAACTATTTTTTATTAATTTGTAATATTCAAAGCAAACCTCCCCACCCATCCATGTCTCCATACTTTTATTTTGCTGAGAAATCAATTTGAAAAACATCTTCTAGAATTTCTGGCTAATTTCGTGGCCAGCTTGAGTAAGAGCAGATGATTCATATAGCATTTACTTCCTGGAATCCATCTGCCCTTAGCTCAGACATGCAGGCATGAGGGTGTGCTTCGCTGAGAAAACCAAAACCCCTTCTCCCCTCCTGAAGACTCCTGGGATATATGACATCCTATTTGCATAGGCATGGAAACCAGGAAGTAACTGAAGAAATGAAAAAAAAATTAAAACAAGTAAATCGATACCTTTCTATCTCATTACTAATGGTAGTAGCATACGGATCAATAATAGTCAATATTGATTGAAAGAGTGAAGTTCTGCTTTAAGCTTTTAATTTGTAGTAAGTAGATTCCCTTAAGCACTCAAAGCAACCCTCAGCTCAGTCTTGGAATGTTGACTTGGTATTGGCGATGTTATTTGTGTCTTTAAGAATCTGTTATGGGTTTAGTTTATGGTATGTATAGTAACAAGGGTCAGGAAGCTTCTTCTATCTATTAAAAACTCATTTGGTGACCTCGCCATAATTTTCCTTCTCCCTTTTGGATACTCGATGTTTGCGTCCACATTTGGATACTTCCATTTCACCCAGTGGCTGTTTTAATTTAGGTTATGGCTTAGGATTTTTGGGTAACATAGAATGCCCCCCCAACACACTACTGACTGTAATGTGCACTGTAGTAATGCACAGTTCTAACAGGCCTAAAGTATTGCATTGTATCTGAAATAGTGACTCATTGCGCTTACTAATGTGTTAGTAACTTTTATTTATTCTTTAGCATTGATATGGTTTACATCTTATCTTATAAAAAAAATCTTGATGTTTTATATTAAAAAAATGCTGCTTTTTTTTTTTTTTTTTAATTGCATACACCTGTGCTTCTTGAAATTAAATTGTACCCCTGTCCTATTCACTTTCTCATGCAGAAGGAGATGAAGAGGACGAAGCCAACAAAATTGAGGCCTTGCACAAAAGAAGAAATTTGCTTGCAGCATTTTGTAAACTTATCATCTATGATATTGTAGATATGCACGCAGCAGCAGATATCTTTAAGCACTACATGAAGGTACCCGTGGTGTTGTGTTTTTTGTTTTCTTTTTTATTCAGTAAGCTAGAAAACTGGCGTTATACTCATCTGTAGCAAGACTTCTTTAAAAACATATGCTAGAGAAATTACTGCAGTAACTATATTGGTTTCTTATTGCTCCGTATTGTGCTGATATTCCACAGCAATATAAGCCAATTCCTTTTAAGATGGTAAAAATGCCATCTGCTTAAGCCATGGTTCACATCAATGACAGCCGAACAATCATTGCGGCTTGCTGACACTGTTTGCAAATCATTAACAGATGTCAATGCCAGTCACAATGCAGTTGAATGAAAAAATAGTGCAGGAAGGTTTTTCAGTCGCACTCATTTGAGCGGGGCCATTGCTGGTAATGGGGTGCGACTTGTTGCATGACAAGTCACACTGGTGTTAACCAGAGCTGAAGGAGCTAACTATCTGTTGACCTTTCCACAGTTATCAAAGTCAAAGAGTATACACACCCATTGGATACAGACCCTTTTTTTTTTGGTCACTTGGAGTAACACACACGAATTCCATAAAATATCGTATTCTCCCAGGTGTTAATTACTTCAGGACCCCATGGCTGCTAACCATTCATCCATTGTACGTCCATACATTTTCATTTCTCTTTACCTTAACTGATAAAAGCTGATTTGATGAGAGAGACGACATTTCAGTGTGTTGCTCCTCTATCATCCAGCCATTGGTTTGAGTAGTAGATACCAGTATGTTCTGTAATGCAAATAAATGTATTGCTGCCAAATCCTTGGTTGTACAGCGTGTGTGAATCACAAAAGTAGTTGAAAAGAATTAGAAATATATGTGAACAGTTTTATCTGCCAAAATATTGATCTCTGTATTTAGATATTTGTCGGAATTTCTGCTTAAACGAGGATCTGTACTGTGGATGCTTTGCCCAAAATAAGGAATTGGAGGGCAAAGGGTTAATCACCAGTATTGCCTGCAGACTGTCTACAGCTAATCTTCGTAGAAGAGAGGAGCTTTGCTTCCTTATATTAAAGCTGCCCATTGATGACTTGTGGAGTAATAATCATGACGCTGCAGGAGAGGTGCAGAATGCACTGATCCTCAGAATAAGGGATATTATTGCTCTGCTGCTCCTCAAGTACAACTCCCTTTCCAACATGGAGAACAGTGAGCAGCACAGTAATGACATCATCAAATTTCATTAGTCTAGCAGCCATAGTACATAGTAATGTGGTCACACACTGTAGATATACAGCTATGAACCTAAGGGCACAGACAGTACACTGCTGTGCTATAGGAAACGTCTAGAAATACTTATTGTGCCTATTGAATTCCTTGAAAATGTACCTTTTTATTCTTGGCTTCCTCTTAAAAAAAAAAAATTAAAAAAAAATGCAGATTTAATTTTTTTTTTAACTTGGCTACTGTAAACAAACCTTCTTTTATTGGAACTATAAAATTATCTCTTGTATAACACCATCATAACTACACAAGTGGCAATATTTTGCTCTTGCAAGACAAAGACATAATACTGAGTGTTTTTAGCAAATGAATCTGTTCTGCATATAGGAATGATCAGCCTTTGAACTGTGAACTGACACTTAGGAATTCTTTGTTTCTTTCTAGTATTACAATGACTATGGAGACATCATTAAGGAAACACTAAGTAAAACACGACAGATAGACAAGATCCAGTGTGCCAAGACCTTGATCCTCAGTTTGCAGCAGGTATGAATTATTGTTTGACTACTTTGCGGTTTGGCTGGAATTTGAAGTTGGACTTAAATTTTACTTGTCATTATGTTTTTTTTTTTTTTTTAAGTGTTGTATAGTATACAAATGGTACTATACAGTATTAACAGAGGTACTGTAACTACAAAAGGTACAGTACACTTGTACAAAAATAAAACAAAACAAAATGTGCAAAATAGCCAGACCACTCAGTAAATATGGACTAAAATTTCTTTGCAGCATCCACAATACTAAAATATTTACCCCCCCCACCCCCTGTTTAGTACCAACGAGCAAGACATGCTGACCAATCAGTGTACAATAAGTTGAGCAGCTCGAAGAAAGCATAGGGATGCACCAATATATCACATATCTTAATAAATACAGTATATCAAATACATAGACCATGCAGTGTCAGGGGTTCTATATGAGATGGCACACAGCCCTCTAGAAAGAACCCATGGAGAGCAAGGAGCCCTACATTGAGTGATGCAGAAAACTTCATCACATTAAGTTACAGTTCCATGAGTACGTGGCTACAAAACTTAGTGAAACAAATTCATGTGATAATCATAAATACATGTGACAGTGAACATATATGCACAATTAGTGAAATTAATACTGTAAAAATAGATGTACTCATCCAAAATAAAAAGTCCAAATAAAAGCCACAAAAAGTGAGTCCAATTCCACAAGATAACAAAAAAAATCAAATGAGATCATTTGGTCCAGTGTGCTGACATGAATCACCACATTCGCCGCGTGTGAAAACACTGTGCCCTTAAGGGAGAACTCTTACTGGAAATCAATTACCCCTGACTACAGAGTGGTCATGGAATATATAGCCCATCAAGGAACTGTTGCCATCCAGCTTCTCCAGTTGGTGTATAGTTCACACTCAGAAGTACCCACATGTAAAAGTAAAGAAATACTGCAATAGTGTAAAACCATCAAAGCAGAATTTATTCCAAAAAATTAAAAAACTCACACTGTAATAGATCTATACAGTGTTATTCAATCCAGTAAACCAGCAGTAGCATAGCAAGGATCGGTGAAAGCTGATGTGTGATGATGACATCAACGCGTTCAAGCCACACCCCGATAAATTTCTGGGCGCTTGGGGTAAGTTTACCTGTGGGGAATCTGTGTTCATTTTCCGCAACATAGGTCGGTGGCATGTCAGGCATATTAAGTAATTGCCTGAAGAGAGTTTCAGCAAAGATGGCTGGGTGCGCTTCCTCTGTGCTTTAGACACTGTTTCTGTGCTGCTGATTCTCCACATCATCCACCTTACTCAACAATGTGTGGACCAGCGCCTATAGATCAGAGGGCTGAGCTGTGTGGCAACCAGCAATGCCCTCTACTGTAATAATGTGCTCCTCCACCTCCATTAGGCGCCCCCCGATTTTGTCCTGGTCATGGCAGCTGACTGTACATTCTGAGGCATGATGATCAATCTTCAGCATGAGCACCACCTTGAAGCCTTCAATGGCATCTAGCAGGGGTTTGGTGATTGCCTCCGAATTAAAGTCATTAGCTGCTGTTGAAGCTGGAGCAAAAGGGTGAAGCAGTGAGTTCTTGATGGATAAGGAAGCTGGTGTTCTCTTCTCCATGAGCTTAGAATACTAGAAGCAGGTAAGATGGCAGATGCTGCCCTCTTGACATTCTCTGTGTCCTCGGATCTTTAGTGGGTCTCCCCTTACCAACATGAAAATAGGTGGCAGGTTGTGTCCACACTGCTAGATGGCAAGAGCAGGATAAGAGCATTCTGTAGAAACAGATGCAGTGCATCCAGAAAGTATTCAAAGCGCTTAACTTTTGCCACATTTTGTTATGTTACAGCCTTATTCCAAAATGGATTAAATTCATTTTTTTTTCCTCAACATTCTACAAACAATACCCCATAATGACAACGTGAAAGAATTTTGTTTTGAAATCTTTGCAATTTATTAAAAATAAAAAACAAAAAAAACACAACATGTACATAAGTATTCACAGCCTTTGCTCAATACTTTGTTGAAGCACTTTTAGCACAAATTACAGCCACAAGTCATTTTGAGTATGAAGCTACAAGCTTGGCCGACATATTTTTGAACAATTTCTCCCATTCTTCTTTGCAATATCTCGCAAGCTCCATCAGGTTGGAAGTGGAGTGTCGGTGCACAGTCATATTCAGATCTCTCCAGAGATGTTCAATCGGGTTCAAGTCTGGGCCACTCCAGGACATTCACAGAGTTGGCCCATAGCCACTCCTTCGTTTTGTGGGCTGTGTTCTTAGGGTCGTTTTCCTGTTGAAAGATGAACCGCTGCCCCAGTCTAAGGTCCAGAGTGCCCCGGAACAGGTTTTCATCAAGGATGTCTCTGTACATTGCTGCATTCATCTTTCCTTCGATCCTGACTAGTCTCCCAGTTCCTGCCGCTGAAAAACATTCCCACAGCATGATGCTGCCACCACCATGCTTCACTGCAGGGATGGTATTGGCCAGGTGGTGAGCGGTGCCTGGTTTCCTCCAGACCTGACACTTGGCATTCAGGCCAAAGAGTTCAATCTTTGTTTCATCAGACCAGAGTTTTGTTTCTCATGGTATGAGAGTCCCTGAGGTGCCTTTTGGCAAACTCCAGGTGGGCTGCCATTTGTCTTTTACTGAGGAGTGGCTTCCGTCTGGCCACTCTACCATACAGGCTGGATTGGTTGAGTGCTGCAGAGAGATGGTTGTTCTTCTGGAAGGTTCTCTTCTTTCCACAGAGAAATGCTGGAGCTCTTTCTGAGTGACCATCGGGTGCTTGGTTACCTCCCTGGCTAAGGCTCTTCTCCCTCGATCGCTCATTTTGGCTGGGGCAGCACACTCTAGGAAGATTTTTGGAGGTTCCAAACTTCTTCCATTTAGGAATGATGGAGGCCAGTGGTGCTCATTGGGACCTTCAGTGAGGCAGAAATTTTTCTGTACCCTTTTCCAGATATGTGTCTTGATACAATCCTGTCTCGGAGGTCTACGGACAATTCCTTGGCCTTAATGGCTTGGTTTGTGCTCTGACATGCACTGTTAACTGTGGGACCTTATATAGACAGGTTTATGCCTTTCCTAATCATGTCCAATCAACTGAATTTCCCACAGGTGGACTCCAATCTAGTTGTGGAAACATCTCCAGGATGATCAGTGGGAACAGGATGCACCAGAGCTCAGTTTTGAGTGTCCTGGCAAGGGCTGCGAATACTTATGTACATGTTTGCTTGTGTTTTTTTTTTTCGTTTTTTATTTTTAATAAATTGCAAAGATTTCAAAACGAACTTCTTTCACATTGTCATCATGGGGTATTGTCTGTAGAATGTTGAGGAAAAAAATGAATTGAATCCATTTTGGAATAAGGCTGTAAAATAAAATGTTGCAAAAGTTAAGCGCTGTGAATACTTTCTGGATGCACTGTAAGCACAGAGAAAGAACGGGTGGTTCAGGAGCTCCCAGGCCATGCACCCTACCCAGCTCACATCCTAGCCATGTTCCCCATTGTATAGTTTTGTGTTTTTTTTTTTTTTTTTTTTTTTTTTTTTTTTTTGAGCCTCAGGATTAAATTTTGGGAATGCTTTTTTTTTTCTTTTTTTTTTTTGTTTTGGCAGATGATTACTAGGTTTTTGTCTCTGCATGTCCAGGTAGTTTGAGTTATGTTACATTTTTTTAAGAGAGACGGTGATAGGAAGCAGAATACAGAGATAGGAATGAGCTAATTTGGGCGTTTCCACTTTTTCTGAAATTTGGCTATTAAACAAAATGCAGTAAAGTCAATGGAGAAGGCAAAATTAAGATTTTTTTTTTGTGTGTGTTTTTTTTTTTTTGTTTTTGTTTTTTTTTTCCGGATGCAATGGACTTTAAAAGGCTCCCAAGTTAAACTACCATGAACGTGTTTTTTTTGAAAAGTATTCCTTTGTACATATCAAATACACCTAGAAAGAAATAAGCGTCAGCTGTCATGACAGCCATTGATCAATGTGCTAATTATTCCAAGGGCTTTGTTTTTTTTGGGGGGAGGGGGTTTTAAAGCTAATGCTGCCTACCATTGTGCATGGCTTAAAATTTGAGGCAAACCTCAATACATTTCAGTGACAGAAATGCTGGGGTTTTTTTTTAGCCGAGTCAAGTTCAATTATATCGCCCACTCATCCCTAGTAAGAAATTGCTTGGCTAATGAGTTTATATTTACAGTTCAATTAGTACAGGCAACGGTGAAATTCACAACGTTCTGAGCTCTCATCAACAGCTATTGGACACTGTTTACAGTTGGGAGTTGGTAGAATGGGCTTCCAATTATGTGACCACTGGGAAAGCCAACCACAGCTATAACATAATCAGGAGCCTGCCTACTGGCCTCCGGCTTTCAAAATCCCAGAAAGAGCAAGCTCAAGGGGTTAGGGGTTAAAGAATTACTGACACTTTTCACTTTTAACACATGCAGATGTTTCATAGCCTACTGTAAACTAAACTGTTGATTATGTTTGTCTTTTTTATCCTTCCAGCTGTTTAATGAGCTGGTGCAGGAGCAAGGCCCCAATCTGGACCGGACGTCTGCTCACGTTAGTGGTATTAAGGAGCTGGCACGAAGGTTTGCACTTACCTTTGGACTGGATCAGATAAAGACCAGAGAAGCTGTGGCCACATTACATAAGTAAGTGACAGACTTGACTGTTCCCATTTGTGAAGTTAGCTGTACTAAGTTAATTGTGCTTCTTAATGAGAATTTAAATAGCTGTTAAAGCTCTCTGACCTGTACTAATTAAATTGTTGTATAAGGAGTTTGTTTTCTCTTCGATGTGCTTAATGCTCTCATATTTTGTTACATTACTCGTGTTTTAAAGGCATTTAATTAGATTGCATGCAACTTATATATTCCTTTAATTGGTCATTCCTAGAAATCATTGATTTCATTTTGTAGTAGCAGACTCCCATATTCAAAGAGAATCATTTTTAGTTGGTGCTTTATCCCAGGATATACAATTGTTTTTTTTTTTTTTGTTCCCA